GTATTCAGAGCGACAGACGGGACAGCCGACGCAACACGCAGACATGGAGCTGGTGCCTCAGCTGGATGACCACACTGCTGCCTGCAGATGTGAGCGTAATAGCTACAAAGAAGAAACGGACGTGAAGGATGAACTATGACGGGCTCCGGCTTTAGTCTTTAAGCACTCGAGTCTCTTTTTCTGTGTGAAAACATTCCTGATATCTAAAGAGATGATAGCGTAATGTTCCTGATGCCTAAGGGCATATGAATGTTCAACATTCCACTTTAATTTTGGACAGTAGAGGGATTTTATGATAAAACCATAGCGGTCAGAAATTTTGAGATCGAGCTCAAAGACAATCTGTGATCATGTGAGCATTAATGTTTTAAAACGTGTTTTATGTTGTTGCTGTGGGAGTTGTTGTTTTTTTTATACCTGTTTAGTGATGGAGGAACTTGGATGAGTGTAAATGTGCCTTTAAATTGGATACTTGTTTTCTTTATCTAAACTAAAAACTTTGTCTTAAAATATTTAACAAGTGCAGATTTTTTTATATTGTTGTGCATACAGCTGTCACTGCAGTTTTGAGTAGTTATTACTCTGTTGAATCACTGAGCTACATTAGTAATTGAGTGGGCGGCGTGGTGGTGCGGTGGTTAGCACCATCGCCACACAGTAAGAAGTTCTGGGTTTGAATCTACCGGCCAGCTAAGGCCCTCAGATTCTCTCTGGGTGCTCCAGCTTGTTCCCATAGTCCAAAGACTTGCATGTTATGATAATTGGTGATTCCTAATTGGCTGTCGTTGTGACTGGTTGGCTGCCTCTCACCCTGTGACCACTGGAATGGGCTCCAGCCGCACTGCAACCCATAACTGGATAAGGGGAAGAGAATAAATGGATGTGTGGAACATGTTAGTGGTCTCCTTTGATAACGTTTTGAGTGGGTAAGTACATCTTTCCCTTTCTGTAGCTTAACCACTGGTCAAGCTGTACTAAGCTCTAACACCAGGATTAAAAACATGACTCTGAAGTTGTTGTAATACCTAATAGGAGTTTATTTGCACTCACTTATCAAAATCAGCGTTATAAAATGCTTTCCAAAAACAGCATTAAAAAGGTGAAAGTTAAAATGAGATGAAAAGATAGAACTCCAAACAATAATGGATGAAATAATAGTTCCAGGAGGAATAGTTCCGGGGCAGACCCAGGACACGCTGGAGAGATTATATCTCTCGGCTGGCCTGGGAACGCCTTGGTGTTCCCTCGGATAAGCGGGAGAAGGTGGCTGGGGAAAGGGAAGTCTGGGCCTCTCTGCTTAGGCTGCTGCCCCCGCGACCCAGCCTCGGATAAAGCGGATGAAGATGGATGGATAATAGTTAATAATAGAATTAAGAGAAAAGATGTAAGATGAGGGGAAAAAAGTAGAACCACATGCAGAAAGCACCATCAAAGAAGTGAAACAGATTTTCAGGAAGCGCTAAGTGGAGTTCCTCAGGCAGGTTGTTCCAAACGGCAAACATACAGTTACCCATTGGCCACTTTGTTGGGTACACCTGTTAACTGCTTGCTAAGACAAATATCTAATCAGCCAATCACACGGCAGCAGCTGATTGCTGTAAG